ACTAACGGGCCTAAACGATGCGCCCACAAACCCCCTTCTTGACCTCCCACAACCATGGCGCACCCCTCCACCAGCTACAAGGCAGGAGGGCAGAAACAACGGCACCCCCAACACACACTCGGGCGCACCACCCTGCTGAGTACTTTATGGCCAACAAGTCGTTGGCCGGTACTCACAACACCAGTCCAATCTCCTCAGGGATCTCATGTATCTACACCTGCATCCATAACAACTCTGGCACCATGGGCATAAGGCCAGTCATAGGGTCCGGCTTCCCCCACTTTAAGGCACGCATGTGCTTATCGTACCATGTCCCCTTCGAAATCCCTAGCCACACCACAGCCTTGGGTGCTTTTGAATCTCATAACAACGATGCGGCAAACACATGGGGAGGTGGCATGCATACTCGCAAGCAGGGGGCAGCATGGTGGGGTGTGTAGGCTGGGGTTTGGGGGGGGGGGACATCGAAGTGGCAAGCACCACATGTGACAGGGGCGCGACAGGGGGTATGATAAAATGTGAGGGCCGCAGGCCCGGAATCACAATGATATCCCTCTTGTTGTCGGGCAGACCTTCCAGCAGAGCTGCACTCTCAGCCTCGGGGTCGAAGTCCACCGCCACTCGCAACGGCTCCGGGGTCCTCTCACGCTTCAGGCCCCTATTGGTTGCGGGGTACATGGGGCTGTGGTGGTGGCAGGCCCGCCCCCGTGGAGGCAGGCGCGCACCCGTCTCCTGCAGGGGGTCCGAGCTCCCACCTCCCTGCCGCGAGGGCTCGGGCCTGTCAGTGGACTGCATGCCGCCTGTATGTTTCTGAGCTTTGGATGGCAGCTCATCCTCTGACTCGGGCTTGCTAGGCAAGCCGGCATTCGCCGGCTGGTGCCACACTTCTGGATGGTTCTGCCCCCTGGCTGCCATAAGGAGAAGGGCAGGCGGATCATCAGTGCCCTTGTCTCTAGCACCGTGCGCCGGGGTCTCCCAAACCACCTGCGCTGGCTCTTGCCGGGGTCGTGAAATAGAGGGGGCAGGCTGGGGTTGGGATGGGGGCGGGGGGTGCTTGAAAGCCACTGTTGGGCCTGCTGCATGCAGACGACCTACCCGAACAACACCGCCGGAAGCATGCTCCGCCTTGACGCTCCCGGCCAGTGCATCGTTGAGCTGGGACTTCCCTGCTCGGGCCTGAGAGAGCGATTCTGCCTCCCCGAGCACGTTTTCGGGGTCCGCAAAATAAGAGCCCTGTGCAGTGTCCTGCTGTCTGCCCTTGGCAGCCTTCTTTTTAGCCTTGATGCGAGACACCAGCCAGGATAGCGTCTCCAGGTCGCCCTCCAGGTCCCCCGCGTCGGCAGCACTACTCTCCTCGGCGCACCTTTCCGCATTATCGCCCCCCACAGCCGCGCTCGTACACTTCAGCCCAATCGACTGCTGCTCGGCAGGACGCATGTGCGGGATGAGTGCTCCAGCGAACTCCAGCGACCTGTTTCCGCCGCAGCTGACCTCCGATGACTCTGCAATGACCGTCTGGAAGCCCACAGCCGCACCCTGATATGCGGCATGCATGCGTCGGACAGGCTCGGAATGGAGAGGGGTACTTAGATTCACCATGACCGTCGACAGCACACCGTCGGACAGGCGCACTAGGATAGAATCGGGCTGGAGGGATGAAAATCGAGCGAGAGGGGGGCGTTTAGAGAGTGCCTGCTCTTCTTGACCCCGCAACCCATATACGGCTGTGTATTGTTTGCCACGGATGCCATGGGTGTCGATACAGTAGAACAGACAGGGGAGGTGGGTTTTGTGGCACAGCGCGCACACTCGCGATGACCTCGGCCACCTCGTCGTCGTCGGATGCAGCCGGGGGATGGTCGGGCGCCGACTCGACCGCCGCCTTCGCACCATCGGTCACGGTTGGCCTAGTCAAAACCTGACACGTTGCATAGGGATTTACACGGTCGCGTCCGCCTCCGCCCCCGCGCCTAGTTACAACCGATACGCTATGTATCGCCTCTTGTGGGTTGGCCATCCTGTCTATCACTGACTCTGCCGCCCCCCTCCTGCCGCGACCGGCACGCCGGCCGCGCCCACCGCACCCACCAAGGCCTCCACGACCACAGCGCCCACCGCCCCCACCACGTCCACCACGCCTGCCACGCACATGGGTGGCGACTTCATGTTCGGTTGGATTAGTCGTCCCTGTAGCATGCATGTCACATGGTGTGTTAGTCTGGCAGACAGTCTCCAACTCTAAACCGTCGCCTGAAGCAACCCACTCTTGGTCTCCGCTATTGTCGCCGCTGCCCGATGCAGACGATGAGCTGGTATCACCCCCTGACGATGACCTGACCGTGCAAGATGATAGGAAACCTTCAAAGTGGGGTGTGTTGTAGCTCATCCATGCCTCAGTATCAACATTTGCGGAGTGTGGCCCACCGAATTCCGTGTTCGACGACGCTACAGGGTGCAAAGGCGCAGCTGGTCGTGCAACCTCCTCTGTCAGTCGATGCCCTGCATCTGACATGTGGGTGAGGGCTCCTTAGCACTAGCCGAGCATCATAATATAACGTGACATGTGGGCGAACACAAATGCCAACACATACGAGAAGGAATGGCATGTCTCTCACCTGTGTTTGCTGGCTCAGGCTCGGCCTGTGTGGGCGTCACCGCTGGGGACGTCCCTCTTCGTCCTTGAATGTGTCTAGCCTGTTCAGCAAGAATTGAGGCAGTGCTCTCACCGTATAGTTGAGGTGCAACGTCGGACGCACCCGTCCGCTGAAGGCGCCGTGCTCGCGCAGACGGCTGAAGCGTGTGGCCAAGTGGCATGGGAAAAATACCAAAGAACCCACGAACAAGGAGTCGTGTCGTGCCAACCGCCTCCACCTAGTCATGGTTAGGCCCACCAGAGCGCCGTGTCTCTACAACGAAATCGTCGGATAGTAGATGGCAGATGACGCACCGTTGCGTCGTGGTCTACCAGTGAGTGACGACATGGTGCCAGAAAAATGAGGCTAAGTACGAGATTGCGTGAGCATCTGGCGAAGAGTACTCGTGACCCGCTCCTGTGCAAAAATGGTCAAGAGCCAGGAGCCAAGACCACGGCACCAAGAGGGTAAGGGTTTCAGACTCTCGTGGAAGCAAACTTCGCAAACAATTTTGAAAGCCGTCAATAAAGCCCCGCGACAGGCCCGGAATGCCGTCCACTACAACACCCAACCAAGGGTTTCGACCCAACCGAGGCTTGACAAGCCTTATCGCCTGCGGGTCTGACAAGGGAAACACATCCACATGCTTTGACACGCTAGGAAATCGGATTCTCATAGGATGCTGCGTTACCGCAAGCACATTTGTGTAGCGGCATACACAAACGATCTACACACACGTCGCGTATAAAAATGTCGTACACCCATCCCATCTAGAGTAGCGTGCATGTCATGTGCAATGTGAAACAAGTTGGGTTATTCTCGCAACACTGCCAGGAGCTAGCAGAAACCCCACTACCGATCCATCCAGAAAGCCACTTCTTCGTCCGCCTAGGTTTCTTGATGCTGGTGGACTAACACAAATGGCCGACAGCGTTATGTGCTCTGACGTCGACGCAGCAATGGAGTCCTTCACAGACTATGAGATGGCTTACCCTCTAGGCGGCGGGTGGCTCAAACGTACAAGGATGCATGTCGCTACTCTACAGCCTGGGATGTTCCTCAGCCAAGACATTATAGAGTGGTTCGGGATGTAAGTGAGTAGGTGACCACGCCTCCCATATCGAAGTAGAGTGCATCATGTGATTTAATCCGCCTGTGTATGTCTTCGTCCGTCTTCGTCATACCATCCTGGCACATCAGCATGATGGAGTACAAGGACGACTATGAAGACAAGGTGTGGTTGTATGCCTCCACGTATCTGATGGGCATACTGAAGAACAACGAGCACGACCCCATGCGGAACTACGCGTACGGTGAAAACGTGCTAACTTACTGGCACGTCTTAATCCCTTTTGTCGACAGGTATGTCCCGACTGGTTAATACCACTAATCCTATTCTCTGTTTCTTGTTGTTCGGCGCTGTTTACCGGCTGTCGGTTCACGTGGTTGCGCGCAGGGACCACTGCAGCCTTATCATCCTCGAGAACGACCATCTAGAAAGTGACGATTACCTCCAGCGCCCTTCCAGGATTCGCCATGCCGACTCTAAAAGAATGCATTGCTGTTTTCTAGGACCGCTTCGCCTGTATGTTGGATGACCCAATCCTCCCTCACGTGGCCCCATACGCGGGATCCTCACACAAGCCACATAATGTCGTCCACTTGATGTCACTGAGTACATGTGCCGGTTTCTCCGGTTTCAGTTGCTCAGATTTCGACCATGGGCAAACAAAGCCCAGGCTGATGCCTGGTCGGCATGCATAACCTTCTACGAGGCTGATGTAAGTTGTGCCAGCCCACAAACGCCACCCCATTGAGTCCTCACACAAACCCATACTCACACTGTCGTGCTCTGTGCCCCGCTTGACACATGCCACCATGCAACCAAACGATCATGGCTGTGGGATATACGTTATCAAATATATGCAGGTCCTCATCGAATTAGGGCTCAGGGATTCGAGAGCAATCACACTGCATGGGAATTCCACAAAGTAGCGGGAGGAGGTCCAGGCTGATTTTCTACCGTGGTGTGCCCACTACCATCAGCACTTCCCAACACGTAAATAGACGAATGCATGCCACTAGATACATTTTACGCCACATAGGCAAGTGTGAGTATACATGAGAGAGCATTTTGTGTGATGCCTGAACACATAATGTCTTACCATCAGCATATACACCGCTTCCCAAAATGCACAAGTTCAAACCCTACTGCAATAACACATTACAACATTACGATATTCACCTACTGATATACAACACATTAAGACCCTCGCAAGTACATCATTACTGTGCACTTGCTCCGTCCAGATGCATACAAAACACACATTCATCTACACTCACAGCCCTCGCCAGTGGTCAACCTCTCCAACCATTTCCCTAGATTGTTCCCGAACACGTTGTCTTTCGCCAGCCATGGACGACCCACATACTGGTGACGCAGGGAATAATGGAGCATGCTAGAGTGGGAAGCGCTTTCGACGCACGTGAGCGGTGGTTCCCGACACGGAGGATCAGATCCCCATTCGATCTCCGCTGCCATTGCTGTAGATTAGTAGACGCGTCGATGTGAGCAGGAGCCGCCATGCCTCTAGATATATGCAACTTCTGTGGGCGGTGGCTCAAAGTGTACCAGGGGATGCGCGGTCATCAGAGCAGGAGTGACTAACTAGTCTTGGTAGGTGCGTTGGGCGTTACCACAGACCACACACCACACTGGTGGCGGTGGTTGTCGACGAACCGCTTGCACGTCTCAACCCCGCTATCCCGGATCGCCACGTCCCAAACCGTGATGCAACCTTGTAGGAGGAGGTGGATGGGGATGATCTTGACGGCGCGCTGCTAGAACACCCTCTTCTACCTAGCGAGGACGAGGCTAGCTTGGCGAGTGCAGATGTCATTGATCTGCGAGTAGAGTTGTTGTCAGTAGCGCGCACGCACATGCTTACGAATGCCGCCGTAATGGACATCATTTGCTTGTTCAACAGCATGCCTTCTCCTCCTGAGGACCTCGTCTCATGGCGCTCGCATAGGGATGTGGAGGCGTTCGAGAGAGAGTATCTCGAATTGGAGCATGAATGGGAAACCGTCAAGATAGAGCGCGCTGGGGATCTTGGAGTGCTAATTCTTCGACACAGGCCTATTGTGCAGGTATGTGCCCCGTCGCTGCAATGTTCGGTGTTGTGAGAATTCTGCCGGACACTTCATGGGTCTTTGTGAGTCGTTGTGTTTTACATGATTCCGACTCAGGTGTTCACGAGGATGTGGACACGCATGTCCGCCGTGGATGGTTTCGTCACGGCCCCTGTGCACAACCTCATCGATAGGGTGTGGCGTTACTATCGGGCGATCGATTGTACACGGTTCCACGATGCGCATGTGAGTTGACTCTCTTGTGCGGCAAGGTACAACCCTGCGCTTTCCGTCTGTTCCTATGTGTGGTTCTCCTCATTTTGTGATGTTATCTGTCCACAGGATGCTGTGAAGGCAAAGGGAGCAGTCGCCGGTTGCATCGTGTTCAGCGACGTGACTCACCTGTCCTTCAACAGGAGGCAGCTCGTGCACCCTATGCTTTTAGCGCTTGTGAACACGCCGGAAGAGGCAAGGTGGTTGGAGGGCCGGGCGGAGATGGTGGCCCCACTGCCACCGCTGCCGTCGGACCAGACGTCGGAAGGGAAGAACACGGTTTTCCAGGAGGTGGAGCGCATTGTCCTCGGCTCGCTGATGGCGCTCTCCACCTTAGACAGGTGCGGAACACACCTTCTCGCCACACCCTCGTGGATCCCACCTCAGCCTGTATGCTTTACACTCGTGCCTCGCACCCCCGCTCGTCCTATGTGTGTATTCCCAGACCTGAACGTCGCTTCCGCACGCATTCTCGCCCCTCGCGTGTGTTTCCACCTTCCAATCATCCCCTGTCCCACCCCTGGTTATACCCACCCTGTATACCTACACGAGGAGGCTTGATAGGGGCAGATCTGCCTGTCTGGAGATGTCGCATGTCGACCCCAAGCTCCGCCCATTGCGGTATGCCTACTGTAGGTGTGGTTGTGTCGGTCAAAAAGATCAACCAGTTTGGTGCCTGAGGATGGGGGACCAAGATAATCACCCTCGTCCCAACCCCACCCAATGTGCCGCAATGCATGAGCAATCACGGGATCGTGGTCGAGGATCGCGTTGGCCAAAAACATAAGGTCTTCCAGCTGCTGTGCTCCTATGTGTGCTACTACCCGGAATTGTGCAAAGTGTCGTGCACCATGGCGGAAAACTCCTTCAAGCCATGCTCTAAGTGCACGGTCAATTGCTGGGAGCTGCGCATTGTGATGGCAATGCCTCAGCCGCGGACAGTGCAGCATCAGCGGCTGATCTCAAGCGCATGTCCCGCGCGTCACCACGGGAGCGGAACCGGCTTAGGCGGGCGTGGTCCACCCACTTTGTGCCAGTGAGCCGTGCCCCTCCACTTGCATTGTTGTACGTCGCTTACTCTTGCGCCAGCACTGATGCATGGGATCCCGTGTTTCTAGTGTGCTCTGTGGGCATGGGGTTTCGTGGAGACAGAACGGGGGAATCTGTACGAGGCCATCGGCATTTGCCTAATGCATGTAGTCGATGAGGGACTGTGGCTTCACATCATGCGGTGCATCGCCGGTCTACTCATGCCTGATGAGCAGCAGACTCTTCTCCGGTGAGTGGTCTAGCGTGTGGTTGTTGAACTGCGGGCGTTCGTGCTTGATTGTCCCTCATTGAAAACTTCTTTATTTGCCAACAAGCTCCGCTTGTACATGCCGACAATGCAGGTATTGTCGTGTGGTCCTCATGCACACCCCGCCTTCAGTCTTGCGCACCCCCAACCCATCGGCATACTTCAAGACGGTCGCACAATTTGCAGCATGGGAGCACCGAGCAATGATGCAGATTCTGCCCTTGTTTGCCATCTGCCAGGCCGCGAGGATGTGGGCAGAGTGGTGGTGATGTTCGCAGATTGGGTCGCGGCTTTTTTCAGAGTGGAGTACCACACCAATGCATCACTAGATGCCAGTGTCGAGTCAACCGGCAGGTACATCATGGGCAGATTAGGCTGAGGGTCTGGTTGGGAGCATGCAGCAACAGAGGCAACTATGCTGGGTTTCTGGTGGTGGGGTACATGCCATACGTTTTGAAAGTCCTTCTCTCAGGATTTTAGGCCGTTCATGGGTGTTTGGTGCGAGCAGCCTGGTGGAGTCACTGGTGAAGGTCTTCCCCAACCAGAAATCGCAATTCGAGTTGCTCAAGATGCACTTGACAGCTCACATGGCCCCTACAATCAAGGCAAGGGGCACGCCAAAGGAGTACTCGTCCAATCTGTACGAGCACAAGCACAAGACCATGGTCAAGCAACCTGCGCGCAACACCAACTGCCGTGACGTGGGGTGTGACATCGCCTTTCGGCAGGAGTGCCTGGCCGCTGTCAAGCAGATCGCGAGAGAGGAGGCTGTGGATCCGCAGTGTGAGACTGCCATGCGCTTGGTGAGCATGGTGCCGTTCGGGCTTGGTGGCATGTGAGGCGCCGTGTTGTTCTCTGCCCTAAACTCTAGAGCCTGCGGTGGTGGTGAGTAGGGGACCTGGGGCGGGGGGGCGGCGGGGAGGGTTAGCTCATGGGTGGTCAGGGCAGACTGGCTGGCGGCTATTTGAGCCGGGGGGTTCGTGTGGTACAATTGTGGACGACGTTTACGGGCTTGGGGGTATTTCATAGTCGGCGCACAAACCCTCGGCTCCTACAATATCGGGTGGGATGCGCCTATGTGTTTCTGGTTGGTACACTGGATGTCTCAGACTATCTCTATCCATCCCACTGGTTTCGGGGATGCCTACACTCGCACACTGAACAATGCATCTTATGACCAGGCCCTCTTTCGGAACTTGCGTGTGCTGACGTGCACCAGCCGACGCATGGTCATCTTGTCCCCGCATGACGACATGTGGTCGGCATACTGTGAGCACGCCGGTGCTGACGCTATGGAGCAGTTTGCAGCTGCGATGGGGCAGACTGGCTACCTCGTGCCTGCAGTGCAGGTATGAGGGGGGATCACACCCTGTTTGAGTGTTTATTACGCTGGACCCTTGGGCCAGTGTGGTTGAAGGTGGTTGCTGTCCAGGGGCGGTTCGTATGAGCATGTCGATATGGGTCGTCTCACCGTGTCCCCCCACCGTCCCTGCCGGCCCCACCCCCACCCACCACCATTTGCTTGTGCCCTGGCTGGCAGGTTCACACGGCGCTTGCAATCCCTCCCCACGACCACATGGACCAGGGTGACAATGGCCAGGTTGTGAAGGCCCCCGAAGCAGGCCTGGTTCAGCCACGTTTGTATCGATGGGCAGCGTAGGGAGGAGTGGTTCGGGCGGTGCCTCATCCTATTCCACTTTGTGGACCCTCAGCAACAGATTGTCTGCCTGGCATTTGTCCAGTACTTCACTGAGGTGGAGGGGCTCTGTCCTTTCACCAGGTGCTGGCATTTGCGTCCAACTAGGGGAGTCGATGCGTATGCGCTGTGGACGTGGACAGCATCCTCTCCCTTGCGCACATTGTCCCAAGCTTCACCAATGCAGGATTGTACCTTACCACTTCTTGTTCTAGGCACGTGTGCCCAAACCCCCTCTGACAAATGGACCCTCCTCCAGTCTATGTTACTTTGGTGGTGTTTGCCGCACTGGGCAAGCCACGTCGCATGTGTTTAGGACGATGGTTGCTGCAAGTGCTTTGCATCTTTGTTGCCTGTGTGTGCGCTAGAGGAGGTGGAGTGAAACCAACAAAGCATAGTATTGATAGCATACAGTGTGCTAGCAGTCAAAATTGGTTGATTGAAATTTTGTGATTTCACGGTTGCAGGAATTGAGCCCTCGTCTTCTACACCCAAGAAGCCCAGTAGTATCTTTTGGGCTAGGGCTTGTTTTGGGACTGTTGAAAAATCACGTACGGGAAAAAATTGGTGAAAAACTGTCCTCGAACTGTCCCAAAGGTCACCTTGGGACTTTATAGGGGATACCGGGGCAGTCGGGTCAGGTTTGGGCTATTCCCTTTTTGGTGATGTACACTGATGCCACAATCCCCCCTCAAAATATTTATTTGCAGGTAGCGAGATCTCGCCACCTCCAGCAGGAATCATGCAATTACCCTTGTTTCAAATGTTTATCACTTGAAACAAATGGAAGTGAATGTGTACCGCGGCTTTAAAGTAGCCCATGCCTGGACGGGCCATGTCCCAACAAAGTCTGGCATGTGACTCGCCTGTGGCTCCCATCTGGCCGAAATCTGACCCACCCTAGATCCAGTAATTGTCCTGAGCCGCATGACACTGCACGGTCCCAAAAGTGTCCTGTGGAGTACTTCTGGGCCACTTCTCTGAGAACAAAAAACTGCCCCCAAGGGATTTGTATAGCAAAAAACCCTTCCGTACTAGGGGCTAGTTGTGATCCCAGAGAGTAAAACGTTAGTAAGGGTTACCGCTAACCTAAAAACCCAACTTCGGCTGAAGGCCCCACTTCAGAATGAGATCTTGGGGCGAATTCCTATGCCGTGTCATGCGTGGTTGTCATTGTGCCGTAGGGAAAATCGAGTGTCTTCCGAGATCGTGGGAGTGTCTTCCGAAGCTAACCGAATGCCAGGTGTTGCATTGGATGTGCGATTTTTGTGTCGTTTGTTGACGCAAACACCTACAAGCGACCTTAAAATACAGATTTTGTTTTCCTTCTTACGAACAACTGTTGCCCTTCACGAAAATTTCCATTATTTGGCTGGAAGTCTCAAAGTCAAAAGGAACGTGCTGCGACACTCGTAATCCTCCGAACGAAACCACTCCCATTTTGGCAATCGCCTACTCGCTTGAGTAAACACATTTCACTTCTCAATCAAGGCTGGCATTTTCAATCGTCAACACAGGCAAAAAGTTTTCTTGGGTGTCTTCCTGTGTCTAACATCGTCGGATGACACGACGCAGGAATTTGACCTTAGTGTAAGGAATTTGCGAATCCTTACCAAGGCTCGCCACAGCAAGTCCGCAGCCTCGGCCCTGAAGTCTCGCGTCAAACCACCCCCGCCGACCTATTCGGCCTCGAACGTGTTACCGAGGTGCCCCGAACCCAATTTGACCCCGTTACCCTTGGGACTATCGAGCCTTGACTGGTCGAACCCTCGAGGTTCATCATGGTCAACTAGCACTATATAAACCCTGGGTCCTCATTTGTATAAAACATTATGTAGTCACCCTCCCCTATAGAATTATGCACTATACTATGAATTAATTCATAACAGATAGTATCAGAGCCGCGATTCTGCCCATCAAGGTTCCGATAGGGGAGCAGTCCCTATCGGGGAAGCGGGCGGAAGGATGCTGGTGGCGTAGCGCTTCCGATGTCGCCGGATCTTGCCCGATGGACGGCTGGGATTAGCCCATCCTCCCCTTCCCTAAGCGTAGACAGAATTATTTTCCGTCGAGAAGTGGCGACATTTTCGCCGTGTTTTTTCAGGTATGTTCGCTAGTGTTTCGTAATTTTCTGAGGTTCTGACGTACGATTGGCTTCTGAAATTTGCGATGAGTCGTCAGGAGAAGACAAGTGCACGGGAATCCTCGGGCGGCCGGGTGATGGTCGTCAGGAGCTCGCGAATGGGTGTAAATGGCGGGACGTATGACGATGTGCGTCTGTCGTGCGATGTAGCTGCATGGTGAAGTGTAGCTGCGTCGCGGGCGTCGGCGTTTCCGGCCGGCTAGTTGCAGGTAATGGATCGGACTTCCGAGAGAATTTTGGCAAGGGGCGGCTGCGATTATTTCGGATTGTCACACGAGTGGGTGAGCCAGACAGCACCAGCACTAGACTAACTACCTCGGCTGTTCAGTATGGGCTGTCTCATTTGGAGGATGAAGCTGCTATGGAATCTTTTCGGCGAGGGCGACTTCCTTAGTTGAGGAGGCGTTATTATGGAGCACCATTTATACCCACACGATCAACGGAAACGGAGGCCACCACCATTGGGTATGTATTACGTGTTTTCCAACGTGGCGACGCAAGCGTCAAACCGTCAAGATCTGAAGCAAGTTGTACGTCAGGCAGCATACGGATCCCCTGCTAACGGAGCTTCGTCGCCCAAATATCACCATTCCCACCAAGTTGTAGTGTCGACTACGGGTCGTCCACTCTTGGCGAAAGGGAAATGAGCCTGCAATCTACACTATGTTGAGGGGTGTCCCCGAAAATACAAGAGTTACTGTTGCAGTGGAGCTGAGGATTTTACCTGGTGTAGCAGAAGGAGTTTCCTGCTTTTGCGGGTTCCAAATGTCTCACCCAGGCACGTCGGGAGGCAGGAGGTGTCAAGCGGTCGTGCAGGGACTTCCTTAGTCCAACCGACTTTATCGTGTGCCCTCCACGCCTCTCACAGTGCAGGTTTTAGAGAAGTCAGGTAAGAAACAGCGAAGCAAATTGGGTAACCTGCAGCAATCGCAAGATAGATGAACGTCTGCACGGCCAGCTGGTCAGGGGTACCGGAGTATTTTACGATTTTGGGTTACAACTGTGAGGAGATCGACGGCGTGTGATGCTCGCCAGCCATGTTGACGGCCGAATACCTATGCCAGGGCGGTGAACGACGATTACCCTCGATTATAGGGTTCAGTTCATGCGTAAAGCTGGTGACGAACTGATGGGGGTACAGCTGAAGGACGACGCGTCAATGTTTTACGAAGCTGCGAAGCACGTGTGGCTGTGAAGCGGTGTTGCAGTATTTGTTAAGTCTCAAATAAAGTTCTGATATTTTCGCTGGAGAAGGAGCTGGTTTTTACAGTTGGAGTTGTGCCCTCTATCTTCAAGGGTACGAGCAACATCGACCAATATTTGCGGAAAGTTTGGTTGTATGGAGGGGAAGGAGAGCAGCAGCTGTTTTGTCTCGTTCAAAGTTTTCGGCGTGTACGGACAAAGTAGCTGATGGAGCTGGCGGCATTGGACCCTAAGTTCGGCTCGACGGTGTTCACTGGAGTGGGTTTCGTATCGGTTACACTCTGCTGCCATCGTCGTCAGCCTCTCGCCACCACTCGCTACCATCTCCATCATCATTTCGTCCAATTTCGCTCAACCGTGTTAACACGACCCGATTCGCCATCCGACGGTCGACAGCAGCAGTATCGAAGCGAGAAGATTTGGCAGCAGTTCTGTTGGGGCCAGCTCGGAAGCAAAGTTTGACATTGAAGTTTTTTTTGAGTTCGTGTGGGAGTCTTCCGGCGCAGTTACTTCCGAGTTTCAAGACCCTTGGAGCGGTTTACCCTGAGGAGTAATTTCAACTTTGGAGCAGTTTAAGGGTTCTCCAGGTCAGAGTTTTTTCAATTGTGTATAAGCTGAGTCATAGGTTTTTTAAGCAGTAGTGTGGGGGCCATTTCATACCCTGGAGCATGGGGTTTCCTGGAATTTTACCTCGATCATTAGGAGTTGTTTCTTATTGGAGGGGGGGAGAAGGGCAGTTGTGCTTCAGATTTCGTCTGATCCTTCCGCATGTTCCATCATCTGTCTTCGACTGACATTCTCTTTCATTACGCTTCCGCACCTGATTTCGTCACTTCACTGATGGAGTTCGCTGATTTTCCTGAGACACAGACGTGTGCCCTCGCATGTGTCACAGACGACCTCGTGTACCCTTGTTGCCCGAGTCAGTCACTCCAAGTTTTTGGGCGGCAGTGACTGAAAGCGTCCCCAACACTTCGCCCAACTCGCCACGGGAAGAATGTGATTGTAAGTGAGTTCCAATGTTACCGCTTTGGCAAATGCGGATTGCGACGGGGGGCTAAATTTGTACTTTCCGAAATACTCGGTAACCTCCTGATGCTTTTGTGACGTACGTCCCTTGGGTCAGGAAAATTGTAGGCTTTTCAGAAACATGGAGAAGGGGAAACCAACTCACCAAAAGAACCAAGTGCACGTGAGACACACAATCCACCTCAGCAAAGCGAGACATGCAAAAGCCTAACAACAGACTTCCTGAAACAAAACCTGATTCAACCTCACGCGAACACAAACATGAGGGGCAGACCAGCCCCGTAGCAAAATGCACCCAACCACCTCGTCATTCCTGAATCACGGAATCTTCACATTCAAAAACGCATGTACTCCGCGGACGCCACATACCCATCCATGGCAGCGGTAACTCCCTGGTCTATGAGCTCCTGGCGGCGGGAGGCATAGCGGAGCCATGCAGGAAGGCGGCGGACTGCCTGGCCGCCGCCGGTCACGTCGCGAGGCGCCGGCGCGTTGAGGTCAGGGACACGGGAGCTGGCCCTCTCAAGGCGCTCTATGATGATTGGATTCCTTATGTCAAAGAGAGCAACGATATCACGGGGTTCGGCGCTCAAGGAACGTGCGTACCCTATCAGCATCTCGCTCGCCGCTCGTGCAACGCAGCGGGCATCGCGATCTAGCGGATTGGCGCGTCCACGGGTCGCCGTGGTGTCATCGCGCATGGGATGAGCACAGGAGTGGAGAGGTGGCGGCTCCTGTGCGACCGGGTCATCCCCGGGTTCCGCGCAAGTTGGCTGGTCATCGTCGTATGTGACGAACTCCTCGGCGGGCATGGCGCGCGTGCCAAGGCCGAGCGCGTGGAGCTGCGTCGCAACACATCCCATCGCCCCCTCGAGCTCATTGTAGTCGTCGACATCGACGGGAGGGTCCTCAACAGGCTCCTCGTCGGGGTTGTCGCGCACGGCGGTGGCGTGGTCGACGTCGTCCGCCACATGGTGGAGGAGCGACTCCCATTCGCGCGGAAGGATGCCCGTCCGCCACCAACAGCGCTGAATGGTGCGTGCCCCAACATTCATCCATGAGTCATTCA